ACAACAGAATATCTGGAATGATATATATCACAGGCTGATTAGTTATCTTTTGGTGGTGGGATTAAGGGTAATTTAAATTTTGCTTCTGTGGGTCTATATTTTGCAAATATTCCTCAAGTAACTTAGGGTGGGGTTTTTTTGGCAATTAGAAAAAATATATATTCACTTTTAAATGTGGAATTTTAAGATAGTTGAAATAGGTTCACCTCCTAACCTACTTGTCAAATTATATCACTTTTACTCTGAACCATGAATCACATATTCACAAAGGTACAGTTTTAATTAATGTCTGATTTTAAGTAATAAAGTAGACTAACAGGAAAAAGGTAAATACTTAAAAATGCATCCAATTTTACTGTCTAAACTAATGAAGTCTTTCACTAACTTGTAAACAAAAGAAGGATCATTCTACAACAATAAAATTACCTAATGTGTAAATATACTTTCAAAGGTCCTCCCAATTTTTATATTAATACATTAAAACCTTAAATGTCGAGATAAAGTATATCTAAATATCTTTCCCTCTCTCCATTCTCACCTTATAGCACTTTTTATCTGTACTCCCAATTAGGAACATATTACAGCCATGTAAATACTGAAGCAGCAGTATTCTTCTTTGATAACAGAAGTCAGGAGGTCCAAGATCAGAGTCCTATCTCCTACCCTTTCAACTCTTAGACCTGGACAATTTAACTTACCTCTCTGAACCTCAGTTTCCCTAGCTGTAAAAATGAATGATAATATTTATCACAGAGTTTTTATAAATATGAAATCAAAAGAACACAATCTAAGTCCTAAGCATGGTGCCTGACAAATAGAAGGTACTCAAGCGGTGGTTGTTACTAGAGGCACACGCAAGAGTTTTTAAGTCCAAGAACTTGCCAAGCCTCCTGAAAACTAAATGACCTTGGGTAAGTTACTTAACCTATATGGACCTCAGTTTCCTCATATACAAAATAGATACAATACCTATCTTGCAGGTTTGTTGTAAGGATTAGGTAAAACTATATACAAAAATCATCTTGCACACAGTAGGTGCTCCATAAACTGTAGTTAGTATCACTATTAGCTAGAGCAATAAACATTTGAGTATAGAGATTAGCAGTTTAAAAAATATTTTTACATATAAGAGTGCATGTAATTCTAAGAATTAATCATCATTTAAATAGACACATTTCTCTTAATTCCCAAATTAATTGTAAACTTCAGAAAAAAGTAAAATACAAGCAAACTTTTTTAACCACACTGAAAAATAAAAGGCCACTTCATTAGTTTCAAAATAAAAATGTGTTATCTATAACTTGATCTGCTTTAACATTTTTAAAGTCCAAATAAATCTAAAAGGGTTAGAAGGGAAAATGTTCTTTTCTGACTTTGAGAGAAGGAAAACGTTTTTTAAGTCTGCAGGAGAAAAAAATAGAGATCCGAATTTTTCTTTTTTTATGACTTCATGTCTTTCACAACTAAAATGTTAAGTGCCTTTAACACAAGAACTCTTTCAAATCTCTGAATTCTTGTCTCCACCTTTGTGCAGAAGCAGATTAGCTCTACAGTTAAGACCACAGAATCTGGAGTCAGACTACCTCGGTTCAAATCCTGATTCCATCCAGCAGTGTGACCTGAGGTAAGTTTTAACATCTCCCTGTCTCTTCAGCTGGAAAATGAAGATTCCTCATATAATTGTTTTGAGAATTAAATGGGATAATACACTTAAGTGTTCATAAGAGAGCCTAGCAAATGGAAGGCACATTATAAATGTTTCCCATTGTTGTTACTGCTTTATTATTATCCCCTCAAAATGCCTTGATCAGTGACTTGTAATCAATAAATATTTGCTATTCTGTAGACAATTTCAACAAAAGGCTTTACTTAAAATTACGCCTGTTTATGAAGTACTTTAAGGACTTCCCTGGTGGCACAGTGGTTAAGAATCCGCCTGCCAATGCTGGGGACACTGGTTCGATCCCTGGTCCTGGAAGATCCCACATGCTGTGGAGCAACTAGGCCCTTGTGCCACAACTACTGAAGCCCGCGCGCCTAGAGCCCGTGCTCCACAGCAAGAGAAGCCACTGCAACGAGAAGCCACCGCAACGAGAAGCCCGCGCACCGCAAAGAAGCATAGCCCCCTCTCGGCTCAACTAGAGAAAGCCCGCGCGCAGCAACAAAGACCCAATGCAGCCAAAAATAAATTTAAAAAAAGTACTTTAACATGACTGTCACTGCCAGTAAAGATACAGCAATTGCTGTTAGGATTTTAGGGCAAAAGTAAGTAAAGTCAATCCCTTTCTCACACTTCCTATTATACAAAGTATAACATCCTCACTTGCTAATAGAAGTTCAGTGCCATCCTTACTTGCAATTAGAAGTCCAGGCATGGCACACACCAATCCAGCAGACACAAAACTCTCAAACCCAAGCTCCATAATACTCAACTATACTCCTTCAAAGAAAAAGTTCAGATTACTCCTCTATTATAATAGTTTAGTGCTTTAAAATAAAAACTATACTGGATAAGTCAATAGAATATTATAAAGACTAAAAACACTGTATATGAAAGTGTTTGAGAGTTAAATATGCACTAAATACTAGCTTACAAATATATTTGAGAAAACCGTAACAACAGATTTCTCCTATTTCAAACGGCTGCCTTCTAACTCCAAAACTAGAATGCTGCCCACTTTAAATCTAGCACCAGGATAACGAGACATAAGTCAAAGTAAAGCTGCCTCTTTATTCCTGTCCTGCCCCAGGTTCATCAGAACTTTTTTTTTTTTTTTTTTAGATTCCATATATATGTGTTAGCATATGGTATTTGTTTTTCTCTTTCTGACTTACTCCACTCTGTATGACAGACTCTAGGTCCATCCACCTCACTACAAATAACTCAATTTCGTTTCTTTTTATGGCCAAGTAATATTCCACTGTATATATGTGCCACATATTCTTTATCCATTCATCTGTCAATGGAGGACACTGGGAGGGGGAAGGGTAAGCTGGGACGAAGTGAGAGAGTAGCACTGACACGTATACACTACCAAATGTAAAATAGATAGCTAGTGGGAAGCAGCCACATAGCACAGGGAGATCAGTTCGGTGCTTTGTGACCACCTAGAGGGGTGGGATAGGGAGGGTGGGAGGGAGACGCAAGAGGGAGGAGATATGGGGATACATGTATACATAGAGCTGATTCAGTTTGTTATACAGCAGAAACTAACACAACATTGTAAAGCAATTATACTCCGATAAAGATGTTAAAAAAAAAGTAAAGTCGTCATCCCACTAAATCATTTCCTGCTTGAAATGTACTCTTTCTTTTTTATTCATAACTCAGATGGGACTTGTGATATCCAAGTCTCACCCCTACGACAGAAATTTAAGGAGTGAAACCCTAGAAGTAGTCTAACTTAAGACCAGGAAAATATCTCCAGAGTTATTAGATCAAACAATGCCCTTCCAGTTCCCAACTATCTGTGATCCTAACCTGGGTATAGAAAAATTCTGATTACCTTCAGACTCAATTTGTTAAGCCCTGAAAATCAGAAGTCAGGTACCTAGGGCCACATTTCAACTCCAGCTGAGGGCTAGAATGTTTACCTGGTTCACTCTCACATTAAAAGCTGGATGCCAGCATCAATCAGGGACACAGCCATACAGCAGCCATCAACAGGCCACACAGGCCAGATTAGGTCACAGGTCACCTGGCACCCCTCACTGAACCACATCCTACTGAAGGCCTGATTGCCAACCCTTGACCTGGAGAATAGGACAATGGGCCGGCAGTCAAGAGAGTTAGATTCTCCTAGTCACAGCTCCAATTTTAGATTTGACTGATTTGACCAGAGAAATCAAATTGGAGAAAATGTGAAGACTTTTTGAAATATAGGTGGAAGACTTTTGAGTATGCGTCACATATCTAGTCACTTTGTTCAGTAACAAAAACATATTATTTGTAACTTGTTTTGTTCATAAAATCATTCCTGGACTTGTAAAATGACGGTCCGGGGGACAGCTAGCACTTTTTTTCAGGGTCTGCACAGATCTTAAAACTTTACTAAGCCATTTCTATCAGTATGTAAAAGCGGAGTTCGATCTGCTCCTTCTCTCAGACATAAGCAAATACTGAATGAAAGTACTGTCAGCATTTCAGAAGCAATCTGCTACAGAAAAACGCACGATTTTTCTGTAACGCACTGGAACTCTTTTCAACACCTAAATTGGGGATCCAGACCAAACGAGTGTTGGAAGTCAAATTCATTAAAGTCATACTTTTCTGTCTATATCTGAGTTTCTGGGCTGGGAAACTGGTCTGGGTCTACATAAATCCATGCTCTGAGCCATCATACAGAGGAACTCCTCTGTAATGTCCCTCCTGCCCACTCTCTTTTTCAGAACTACCAGCCGGAAAAGATACCCTCCGCAAATCCTACAACGTCTCCCCACTTGCACAGATAGGCTCCACAACTCTTCAGCCGTCGGTGACTTTTACCACTCCCCTGGAGCTAATCGCTTTTAATGACCACCACCCTCTCCCCCAGGAACAGTCACTCTTCTCAGCTTTACACTTTGTACCGGCAGCAATCGACTTAACCATCCCCCATCTCCCACCACCTCGGACGCCCTTAGACATCCTCACCAGTTTGCCCGCCGTCCGGTCCCGAAAGCCCCAACTCCTGCTCCACCTTCATGAGCCGCCCGCCCCCAAGCCCTTCTCAACCCCCAAACCCGGCCGCCGCATCACCTGGCTCCCCGTTGTCCTACGCGCCTCGGCCCCGCCACACACCTTGCCCTTCCACCCGAATCTCGCACTCTGGATCCTAACCCCTCCCGGAGGCGGGGGCGGGCAACGCTCTCGACTGCTGGACTGAGACTCCGGAGGCCGCGCGTCCCCCTCACCAGGCCCCGCCTGGGCCTCTCGACGCGGTTGCCCTCCACAGCCCCCCTGGCCCAGCCGTGCTTACGCCGAGGAGTAGGGCAGCCCGAGCCCAGGGCCAAGCACTTACTCAGGAAGGTAGGTGGAGGAGAAGGAGCTCCACTTGTGTAGCGCGTAGGGCAGAAGCCGGCACTCGGGCGTCGCAGAGACAGCCCCGCCAGCCGCCATCTTGTCAGCACCGTAGCGCCCGCCGCCGACCGCCAGCCGCGCCGGGAGGGGGAGGGGCGGGGCCTGCTCTTAAAGGAGCCGCGGCCCGCCTGGGCCGTCAGCTCTCCCGGTCTCGCGTCGTTACCGCTGCGTGAAGCGGTAAGTCGCGCGCGGGTCGGCGATTCACTCTGGGGGTCTCCGCCGCTGAGCCCTCCTGAAAGACTGACTGGCGGAAACTGGGACTGGAGTGTGAGCATCTGAGGGGCTCTCCAGTGGGGCTTGGAGAGGAATGTCTCAAATGACTTTTCTTGAAAGCTGAGGTAAGGGGAAAGCCAAAAACATTATGAAAAAAATAAATTGTAGTTATGGGACAGGAAGGGAAAATGAGAAGAAGTTGGAGAAGGGACGCCTTTGAGACTTTGGAAACCACTGCTCTCTCCAGTTTCTAAATTCTGTAAGGAAACAGCATTGAAGGGAATTGCAGTGGAATAGCTAATGGCCTTTCCTTCTGGAGTTGTCCTGGTTTTAAACGTCTTGTGTCGCCCCCCCCCCCCTTCCAGAGTCACATGGAGACAGGAAAAGGAAATGCTTGTGTGTCCTCTCATCCTGTTCAGTTTTCAGTCTGGGATGCCCTTCGTTGTAAGCATTTGTTGAGAGCTCTCTCATACCCATCTCGCGCGATTGGTTTGCTCAGTAATGACATTCACCCACAGACCAGAAAAATCCTAAAGGAGTTGGGAAGCTGGGTGTCGTCATTCTTACAGCTGGTAAATCTACCTATTTTTAACTGACAGATATTTAGCCCCCAAATTCTGAAAGAGCAAGAGACAGAGAGTTTCAGGCTTCCCTGGTGGCGCAGTGGTTGAGAGTCTCTCTGCTAGTGCAGGGGATACGGGTTCGAGCCCTGGTCTGGGAGGATCCCACATGCCGCGGAGCAACTAGGCCCGTGAGCCACAACTACTGAGCCTGCGCGTCTGGAGCCTGTGCTCTGCAACAAGAGAGTCCGCGATAGTGAGAGGCCTGCGATGAAGAGTGGCCCCCGCTTGCCACAACTAGAGAAAGCCCTCGCACAGAAACGAAGACCCAACACAGCCAAAAATAAATAAATAAACAAATGTGGGGTTTGAAAAAAGAAAAAAGAATATTATTTTAAAAAAAAAAGAGATAGAGAGTTTCAAGAAAATGATCACAGAGGGAATAACAGCCCATGTGCTCTGAATGCCATATGGGCATCATACCAGCTCCTTATCTAAAAATGAACACTTGCTCTAAATATCTAGCAGCTTTAGATAATGTTCCCATCAAATACCTGTAGGTCAGCGTTGTGCATGTTTATTCCTTGGCTTAGCCACTGCATTACCAAAGTACCCTTCTCTCACCGTCTAAGTGGTTCTACCCCTGGAAGCCTGCGCAGCATCTTCATCTCCACCTGACCAACGGAAAAACTCAAGCAAAGGGTTTTTTAGTGAATGACCAAGTGAGTTGAAACACCTCAGTACTATAATTGTATTCTTTTCCCATTATAATCATTAACCTGCCCAAACTTCCTCAAATCCTTTCCTGACTTCCTGTTTCCACAGAGAAAAACTTAGTAGTAGCCTCCACTAGCATATCAGATGGAGAATGCCAAATAGAAAGGCCACAATATGTTAGCCTTTAAAATCACATGTGCTTTGTGTGTTACAGCATACTGGGAAAGTATTTGTTCCTTGAGGGAATGCTATAATCCCAGCAATGAGGTTAGGAGTCCAGAGACAGTGAAGAGGCCAGAGAAGGTTGATTAGTTCCAAAGATGATTAGTGGTTATTTGGGGGGGGAAAGAGATACTTTTAAGGGGAAAAGATTAAGATGGTGACTCAGTTCAATTAGTTTGGGGCTCCAAATTTGCTAATTACACCTCTTACCCGATTGTAAGTGAGTCCTTGTTCTTTTCCAGACACAGAGTTATGGTCCCTGAGTGATCTTTTTTAAAAAAACACATAAGTCAGTTCTTCCTAAGATGACTCTCTCGGACTTTCAGTGACTTTCTATTTCCTTTGGGTAACACTGAAAGTCCTTAGCATAGGTCTTTCATATCCTGCCTTGATTACCTCTCTAGCTTTTCTCTTCTCTTTCTCCTCTGCACTCCCTACTCCAGGCACACTAAACTAACACACTGAATTGGCTTCTGTAAATTCTGTGCTCTCTCTGGTCTCCAGGGCTTAGTGTAAACCAAGCCAGGAATACTCTCCCCCATTCTTCACCTGGCTAACTTCTGCTTGTTTTTCAGATTATTTCATTCTGGAAAATCAGTCCTCATCACCTATTTCGGGGTTAGGTGCCTTTTTTTTTACATTTTGTCACCCTGAGTTTCCTTCCTTATCTTAGCAAACATCACAATATATGTTTTTTAATTTTTTTTTTAATTTTAGATTTTATTTATTTTTGGCTGCATTGGGTCTGTTGCTGCGTGCAGGCTTTCTCCAGTTGCGGCCATTGGGGGCTATTCTTGGTTGCGGTGCGTGGGCTTCTCATCGCGGTGGCTTCTCTTGTTGCAGAACACGGGCTCTAGGTGCATGGGCTTCAGTAGCTGCAACACGCGTGCTCAGTATTTGTGGCTCGCGGGCTTTAGAGCACAGGCTCAGTAGTTGTGGCTCGTGGGCTCTAGAGCGCAGGCTCAGTAGTTGTGGCTCGTGGGCTCTAGAGCGCAGGCTCAGTAGTTGTGGTGCATGGGCTTAGTTGCTCCGCAGCATTTGGGATCTTCCCAGACCAGGGCTTAAACCCGTGTCCCCTGCATTGGCAGGCAGATTCTTAACCACTGTGCCACCAGGGAAGTCCCACAATATATTTTTATTTCCTCTTTTTTTCTCATTCTCTCTCCCTAAACTGTAACTCCCATGAAGGTAGGAGTCATGCATATCTTGTTCACAGTTGTATCCTTAGTCCTTTTAGAGTGTCTTGCATATAGTGGATGCTCAATAAATATTTACTGAAGAATGAATTAATTGTGCTAAAAGAGTACTTGGGTTGCAAAGGAAAAAAAATGCCAGAACTTCTCAGACTACAAAAATGTATCCCTGAGGTATGATTGCCACAGAGAATGTAAAGACCCCGGAAAGCGTGGCTTTCCTGCAGCACAGATTTTACAAATGGTAAAATAATATAAAGCATTCGTATGTTAACATAAATACAGATAGATATGTTAACATACAAATGCTTTAAATTCATAGATATATTATGATACTGAACCCCAAATTTGTATAAATGTTAAGATAAAATAGAAGACTAAAGAAATTTTAAAATCTTCAGGAGTCTGCCGTACCTCAGATCTCCTACGGGTACACATTTACCTCCACTGCCTCTGGGGCATTGTGTTAGTCTATGGGGTTTATTGTAAGGATACATGGGGAAGGTCTGGAGACTGTCAGCAGCCATTTAATCTCTCTAGTTCCCCTACATTACTATATTGATGGCCTCATGGAGAACTGGACAATGGATCATCATTTTTCAGGGATCAACAGCTCTAGTAATCCAGTTATCTTGTCATCTAAAAGAAACCGTCTTTTACTCTCTGATGATGTCTCAACATGCTTCTCATAGTAAACACTTCCCAGAGAGAGTAACTGATTATATTCGGTTTGTCCCCATTCACTATCTTTTCCTGCAATAAAAGATTTATTGAGAGGCTGTGATATGCCAGGCCCTGTCCTGGATGCTAGGGAGGCAGGGACAAACAGAAAAGCCAGACAAGGGCCCTGCTTTCAGGGAGCTTACATTCTGGCAGGGCAACATATAATAAATATAATAAGTCAACTAGATAATTTTAGTCTGTGCATTTTAGGTGCTAGGAAGAGACTACACTGGAGTAATATTGGATGGTAAAGGAAAGTGTCTCTAAGAAGGTAATATTTGCGCTAATACCTGTGCAGTGAAAAAGTGCCAGCCATGCAAAGGCTGGACAAAAAACATTCTGGGAAGAGAGAATAAGCAAGTGCAATGGGCCTGAGGCAGGGAAGGGGTTGTTAAAGAAAAGAAAGAAGAGAGTGTGGTGGGAGCGTAGTGATGAAGAGAGAGACTGGAGTCAGAACAAGTAGGGCCCTAACAGTCATGGTAAGGAGTCGTGACATGGAAATGTGAAGGGGAGACTTGTGCGGGGATTCAAGCCAAGGAGTAGCGTGATCCATTTTACATTTTGTAAAGATCGCTCTGCAAAACAGAAAATGGGTTGGAGAGAGGTAAGAGTGGAAGGGATGAGACTCTACAGGAGGTTAAGCCAGGCAAGAAATGATGGTGGCTTGTACTAACAGGAGATGGAGAGGAATGGTTGAATTGGGCTGTATTTTGGAAGTAAAGTCAGCTAGACTTGCTGATGAGGGAGGGAAGGCAGGAGGAAATGGAAAGAATTAAGGATAACTCTTGGGTTTTGTGTTTGCACCACTGAGTAGCTAGTGATGCTTTTATTAAAAGGAGAAGATTTGGGGTTAGAACAGTCTTGAGGTAGAAGAAATCAAGAATTCCGACTTCAGTGTGGTATATAGGGGATACCTAATAGATATCCAGGTGGATTGTCAAGCATCTGATATGGGGATCTATATTGGTCAGAGACATATCAAACCACCTCATAGGCATTTGACCTTCTTCATATATAACCAATCAGTGCTTTTTTTTTTTTTTTTTTTTTTTGGCTTAGGCACTGATTCCTGGGCCAATCAGTTTTCCTCTAAACAGCAGAGTCAGCATAGCTCTGGGTATGGCAGCTCTAGAAAGAAGAAACCATCTGTGGCAGCCTTCTGCAGAAGGGGATCAAGGGGTACAGAACAGTCTAGGGAAAGAAACCCAGAGTATACTCAAAAATCTTGTTTGCAGTCCCAGTTCTGATACTTTTCTAGCTATGAGACCTTGGGAAAGTCACTTAACTTCTCAGCGTCTCATTTTCCACAGCTCTAAAGTGGTTTTAATAAAATCTGTCTACTTCACAGTGGGGTTTTGAAGATCAAGTGAAGGAAGAGGGCCTAGCTCGTCTGCTCTAAGTTCTCATTTAGCTCTCACAAAAACTCTGAGAGAGAAATATTATTATTCCCTTTTTCACAAATGAGAAAAATAAGACTCAGAAAGGTTAAATAATTATTTGTTATCTTTGTTTTGTCCCTCCAGATACATGGGAGGGAAGAGCGTGAGGTTGGGGTATCCCTTCCTCTGACTCCCTGCCTGTATACACAGTGGGCTGACTGGCCCTTTCAACCAAAGGTCACAAGTCCTCCCAAGTGGCCTCTCCACACTACTCTCTCTGGTTCTGGGTTCCAGTAACCACTCCCTCCCCTGCTCCCTGTGGTTTCCCAGT